CTCTCTCTCTCTCTCTGTGCTCTCTCTCTCTGTGTGCTCTCTCTCTCTCTCTGTGCTCTCTCTCTGTGTGTCACTGTGCTCTCTCTCTCTCTCTCTCTCTCTCTCTCTCTCTCTCTCTCTCTCTCTGTGTGTGCTCTGTGTGTGTGTGTGTGTGTGTGTGTGTGTGTGTGTGTGGTCCTCGTAAACCAGATCCGAGCAGTTCGAGCGCGTGCTCGCAAAAATATGCACCTGACAAGTCAAGGACCAAAAAAAAAAAAAGCACCTGGGGAAAAAAAAAGAAAAAAAAAAGGCCTGAAAATGAAGGTACTAAATCCTCAAAATATAATAGGTAGGGCTGCCGGAAAACCATTTTCAATTAAAACTGTATATCCCAGAGAGGGCAAACCGTGTGTGGTACTTCCTGAAAGAAACTTTGACGTCATTTTCGCACACTGGGCATAATGGCATAACGGGCTCTACAGGCGGTGTGCAAAGCTGCACTTGATGTTTTTCAATTTTTTTTTGTTTTCGGTGGTATTTCACTTGCGCAGCGAAGTACATGCATTTCAAAGTCGACGAACTGGCCGTCGCCCTTTTTTTTAAAAAAAAAAAAGAAAAAAAAAAAAGTCGACGAACTAGGTCGAGCTCAATAGGGTCTTCTTTCTCCGCTGATTCTTCCAAGCCTTTTCCCTTTGATTCTTTGAATGGTTTAAAGTTGCAGGATGGTAAATAGGGACAGTTGAAATCTCATTATGAAAGTTGTTTTGCCGCGGACCGTACCACACCCGGTGTGGTTAAAAAAAATTACAAAGGTTTTGCAGCAAAGGGGATGTACACTTTTCCCAAAAATGAAGATTCATTAAAGATAGGTATGACGGTCGTGTGCTATGGGGGGATCCGCATGGTGAAACAGGCCACGTTTTTCGGTGTCTTCCCTTCGTTAAGGGCGCCCCGCCAAAAGGTACATGCATATTGCCAAGGCCGCCTTTTCCCCCTCTACCCTGCCCTCTCCACCCTTAGCTCTTTTCCATCTTTCTCCTCTTTCGCTTGTCCGTCAAATCGTCCCTCTCGCTGTTACCTGTGCATAAGCTACAAATACCGCAGCTACTCTGCATCCTCAAGGAAAGAAGATTTGTAGACGTCTGCAGCGTTCTGCTTGTCTTCGCTCTGTGGGTGTGGGTGTGTCTGTGTGTGTGTGTGTGTGTGTGAGAGAGAGAGAGAGAGACAGAGAGACAGAGAGACAGACAGAGAGAGAGACAGACAGACAGTCGAGGAGAGAGAGAGAGAGAGAGAGAGAGAGAGACAGACAGACAGACAGACAGACAGACAGACAGACAGACAGACAGTCGAGGAGAGAGAGAGAGAGAGAGAGAGAGAGAGAGAGAGAGAGAGAGAGAGAGAGAGAGAGAGAGAGAGAGAGTTGCGCTGGTGAGGTGTTTGCGACGCGGCCATGGCTGCTGTACGGTTTGCTGTCGTGATGCTACTTCTCTTTGCCTGCTCGCTCATCTTCAACGACCTGCAATGTGCTCGAGGCCAAGAAGAGGACACTTATACTACGCCTACGTTCCCTGGGTATTGCTCCACAGCTGTTCCAAGGCTTCCCTGGGCAAGTTTACAAGAGGTGTGTACGCCGAAGCAAGGCCCGTTCACATCTACCTGCTGCGAGTTCATCAAGGGAATGAAAGATTACGAGGAAATGAAGACCCGCTGCGGGCAACAGATTGCAATTTATGGTAAGACGTTGGGATATGACGTCCGCCAGCTCGCCAGCGATTGCAGTTTGTAGTTTCCCAGAATGTCAACCGGGTGGTGGCACTGGGTGCTCTGTGGAACTGCTGCTCCCCACGAATAGACTGGAGCACTGGTCCTGACTACAAGGGAGGGATGCACCCATCACATTGCCTAGTAGTTCGGGCCCGTAATTGGAAAAAAGAAAAAACGTGATGACCGAGTTAGAGGTCAAGAGATGGGGGAAGATTGAGAGACAACTAGGGAAAAGAAAGACGGAGTGAAAGAGAACACAAAACAACAGCAGTTTGAGACGTTCTGCTCCGAGAGTTCGGGGCTGGGCTACGATGTCTTCAGACTACGGAGAGTTCACAGGACGACTATGGTCATCAAGTCCTGCGTCTGCGTCTGCGTCAGAGAGAGAGAGAGAGAGAGAGAGAGAGAGAGAGAGAGAGAGAGAGAGAGAGAGAGAGAGAGAGAGAGGATCACCCAGTTGCTGTGAGTTAATGAGGGAAAGAGCAGGTTTTTGTGTGCATGTTTACGTAGTTCCAGTCCGGAATCATCCCTCTCCAATGAGCAGCCCCAGAGTCCTCGAGGAGTGGCTGCTATAAATTGAAATGGGCATGCAAACAAGAAGTTACGTGAAGTGTGTTTTGTTTGGAGTGGAAGGGGAAGACCCAGAGGGCCCCGGACCGTTAGCGAATCGTTATCGTTATAATTCCACTCACAAATTACAGAGGACTTTTGTCGACGGACTGAATGAGGAGTGTCACCGTGACGAGTGTGGGTAACAAAAAGTTTTATTGCCATTCTGATTCCATTGTTTCCGCCCTTTGATTTATGCCATTATTCTATTTTTTTCATTCCGTGATATGATGATCAAGGGTCCTCAATTCGACCATGAATGACTCATGAATTGCGCCCGGTCGTAATTATTCACTCATGAAATGACTGACGAATTTGAGGGAGTGATTTATCATTTCTGTCCAGGAATGGGAAGAGGTGTGCGAGCAACAAACATTCCAGTCGAATTAATAATTGTGAAAAAGCCGAGTGTTGGCTTTCTTTTCGTTT